CCAAAAGAGTAGATGGTCAATATCTTCAGGTGATGAAATGATAGATCCTCAAGTCGCTTTCAATCAGAGAAAGCGTGAATACTTCCGATCCAATCGGAGCGATAAACTCAGAGGAGAGCAACACGATGATATTCGGATCATTGATCTTACAGATACTGCTAAGCCTGACCGCCCATCAGAACCCGTAAAGAGTCTGAATTCAGGAGAGAACACCCTCTCACCGTCCAACAAGGTCCCCGTCGAGCGCAACAGTGGAGATATGGATACAAAAAATGCGCCTGTAACGGTGAAGACTTCTCCTAACAGGCAAGGTGTGACTGGCACCTCACGAAATAACGACCAAACTAGTCCGGTTATCTCCCCAGTCGAGTCTCTCACTATCGTCCAGTCGTCACCGCAGACCACGTTCCACAGCCTGTTCGAATCGTTCAAGACTGCCTATCCATATACAGGTAATTTGAGGAGTTTTCAGAAGCTCTGTCAAGTCTTGCTGGAATCAGATTCACGAAATCCGTCAGAGGATTGGGACATTTACGTTGTCGCTTACGACCAACATTACGGGCCATATCTGAAACAATGTCTTGAAGATTTTGAGACACCTCTTCCTTATGATCAATACTGGACGCAGGGATTAAGTGGGCATGTGTGCATATCCAGGCAGCCTCCAATCTTGAACGCCCAAGTCATCCGACAGGCGTTGGACCACAATCCATCTCGTAGTGCTTCTGTTACTGGCAGTATTGTTGCTCTCCAACCAGTAGAGCCATCCATGTCTCTCAGAACATCTTTGCCACGTGCAGCAGACTCGAAAGACGTGATGCAGCCTCCCGTCGCTCCCTCTCCGTCACGTGCAGTTGCTTTGACAGATCACATTTCACCTACACCTTCACGAGTACAACCCGTGCAGCCTCGAGATCAAAATGTGGCGCAATATTCGGAATCCTCACAACCTATTCAAAAGGCGAGGCAGTCTTTTCATCTCCGAGTCATGCATCCAGATCGGGTCGCAATGCTTTCCTCGGCCGTTGCAAATCCCAAGACCTTACTACCCAAAGATCCCAACTTTGCCATACCGGCATCTTCTGCAGCTAAACCAACGCAAACAACAACAAGTTCAGGATCTCGTCAATTATCTTCTGGTAGTAAGGACGTTATACCGCCTCTGTCGTCCGAGCAGATTGCCAAGCTTGATGTAATGCAGGAGCCACAAAGAGCCGCAGCCTGGTATGTTAGCGTTCAAGTAATGTACCAGATCAATTGCTAACCTTGGTCTAGGATCAATGAAGTCTTTGAACCTCATCCCCCTGCTTCGAATTTGAGACAAGGACACGTTTACAAGGCATATAAGAGCTCGTTTGAGAAAAGCAAGGCTCACAAACTACTGAAAGGAAGAGAATTTCTGAATTACTTTCCCATTCTCTTCAAGGGTGCTTCCATAGGCAGGACGCAAGCAGACATGGATGATGGTCTGTTTTTGATTCGCGGCGTTCGTGCGAAACAGCCCGTCGAGGTGGGTGCCGAGACTCAATCAAGAGACTCGCCGAGAGAAAGCAGCGCTCAGCCAAGTCGTGCAGACATGCCAATGTCACGCAGAGCGGATCGTTCCTCCGATACTACATGGACAGCGATCGGTCATATGGCTCCTCCATCTGCACCGCGTGCAATGAGAGAAAAACATGCAATGCGAAATGGCCAGTCAAGTCCAAGCATGGCACCGCCATCAGCTCCATCAAGACATTCAGGAGCAAGGAACAGCGGTGGTCCGCGAGTCGAAGACCAGAGCCGGCCGCCTTTTCAACCTTCCAGCATGGCCGGAAGGAAAAGTCTACCACGCAGCAATCCCCAAACACCAGCGTCCTCATCTTCAAAGAAGGTATAATTGTTTTCTCGTTCGTTTTGTTCCGTTTCACTGTCACGATACCCTGTTTTTAATGCACGTTGAGCCATGAATACCTTATCTTGTACATAGCTCATATCTACAATGGCTCTGAATCAACTGACTTTGTTCTCTCCGTTGCAGGTCAATTTTGGGAATGATGGCGCGACTTTTGCGGATCATGCTGCTGCTACTTCCCCTTATCCTCCTTCTCATCACAGTGCGCAAATGCTTGAAGAACAGCTATTGCCTGAGTTTTGCAACAGATATGCTAGATTAGGCATTGTGACAAGTAGACAAAATGCCTGGGCCGCTGATGTCGCGAACGGACGATCAAGATACGAGCGACTAAGAGGGAGAGTTGATATTCTCGCTTGGAGATTGGGAGGGAGATAGATCCCCTGAAACGCACAATTCAGACAAGCGTGAAACAAAAGGAGAAGTGGGAAAAGAAGCACAATTGCAGGAGATGTGTATATACAGTATGTGTAGATATAATCGACTGTATAAGGTATTCTATTACCTCCTCTCTTCATGACATAATACAAAAGCACAATACCCAAGCACATCTACTTCCCTACGCAAGTCTTGCAACAAACATGCTAGATTAGGCATTATGACGTGTAGACAGAATGCGTGGGCTGCTGATGTTGTAGACGTCAAATCAAGACATAGGCGACAGAAAAAGGAAGGGGAAGGGGGAGGCAATGTTCTCGCTTGGAGATTGGGAGGGAGATAGACCCTTTGAAGCGCACGAATCAGCAAGCGTATAAAGAAAGGAGATGTGGGAAGAGAAGCAGGTTGCTGGATGTGTATGTATACGTATGTGTAGATATGATCAACTGTATGACCTATCCAATTTCCTCCTCATGACACAATATAAAAGCACAAGACGGAAGCACATCAATTCCTCTACGCAAGTTTCGCAACAAATATGCCAGATTAGGCACTGTGATAAGTAGACAGAATGCCTGGACTGCCAATGTTGCGAACAGGCATTCAAGATATAGGCGGCGAAAAGGGGAAGGGCAAGGGAAAGAGCAAGGCAGAGTCGATGTTTTCAGCTGGGGATTGGGAGGTAAATAGATCTCTAAAGCGCACATAGTCAATCAAATAGATGTTACGCATACTGTACGTACTCATCACTCTTATATGCATACTTATCATTATTGCCTAGACGGAGTCACTGACTGTACTTATCACTGTTGTCAAGATGGAATTATTAGAAGGAATTATTAGAACTAATTATCAGAACAAATCATCAAAGCAAATTTTCAGAGCAAATTTTCAGAGCTAATAAAGTGAAAAGAAAAGTCTCTGTTTCCGTTTCTGTTTCTGTTTTTATTTCTGTTTCTATCTCTCTTGCTTGCCAACTTTATTACAGAATTGTGCTCTGACTTTACGCTTGAGAAAGAAAACCTTTAATATGTACTACATAGATATGTGTCGTATACACAGACGACTATTGCTTCTATTACATAATTGCACGATTGCTATAGTCGGAAAATTAGAGATAGATACTTTAAGATTGTCTTAGGCCTGCTGTAGACTCATCACTACAGTTCAGAGGATAAGCGGCTATACTATGCTATAAGAGCTGACTCTACTGATTCTCTTGCTATATTGAATACAATATAATACAATACAGTACACTACATACAGTTGTAATAGCTTCCATTCTCATAATAAGAGAAATCATGATACGAAGAACCGACTGACATGGCAGTGTATTATCAGAACTTACAAATGTCGAAAAGGAGACTGCAGAAGGAGACTGCAAAAGGAGACTGCAGAACAAGACTGCGGAAGGAGACTGCGGAACAGAAGACTGCTAAACAAGAGACTGCCAAGCAAGAGACTGCTAAACAGAAGACTACAAAACAGACTGCCAAATAAGATGAGTTCTCTCATCATCCACATCAAAACACCACTCCAAATCCCCACGAAGATCCAGTTCAAACTTTATCTTCAGCTACAGGCCAAGACCTCAAGTCAAGGCCGAGCCCAAGCCGCAGTCTCTGTCTGACTGTGTCTTCTGTTCTACATACTGCTTTTAGTCCCAGCTGGATCTCTAGGCAATAGCAGTAGCATACTCAGATATCATGCTTGAAAAGCAGCCCAGCCCGCATACCGCGTTCTGCGTTACTATGTCCGTTCGTGTCTTCGAATTCAGAGTTCAGAGTTCAGATTCCAGACTTTCTCTCGACCTTTTTCTCGTATCGACTTCTCTCTGTTGAGTCGTAGAGCGTGAGGTTTTTGATTTTCTTGATTCTCTTAAACACTTAAAGGGCGCTAGGAGTTGGGTTTTATCGTCTTATCCTAATGATAGAGTTCGTTTGTTGCGACTATCGGATAGTAACTGTTAGGCGCGTAGTTAGGCGCGTAGTTGGTCTGCTGAATAAGAGATTTAACGAGGTAGAGATGTAAAGTGGTTGTCTTATATGCGATGCAAAGTGCCTGTCTTGTATGCGATGTAAAAGCGATATGTACTGCCTTATGTTGCGAGAGGGTTATACCGAATCAGAATTGAGGTTGAAGTCAAAGTTGAAGTTGAAGGCGAAAGTCGAAGTCGAAGTTGGCTCAGTTGAAGTCGCAGTTGGAGTTGTGATCAAGTCAGTCCAAGTCGTGATCAAGTCAGTCCAGACAAATGAAAAAGGGCGACGCGGTTTATACAGCCTCCTCAATGCAATCTCGCTTTTGCTGGGGACAATGATACAATCTACAGTGTGGTTTGGAGGGTTGGATATACACAGAAGATGGGAAAATTTACGCAAATCCGTACAGGCGTGATCAATTTCAGAAAAAGACGCTCTGGCGTTTTTTGCTTCTCTACTCCTCTTGTAGAGTTTGTGATAGTGACGTGCAGTACTCGTGCACGCGAACTCGATCAAGAGAATGCAATCAGCAAAGATAGCAAGAAAAAGCAGAAGACAAAAGAGAGAGAGAGGGGGAGAGAGAGAGGGGGGGAGAGAGGGGGGGAGAGAGAGAGAAAGAGTACAAAAAGGAGAACAAATCAGAAGACAAGATTGAAACAACAAGAAGAAAGGAAGAATAGAAAGAGGAGGAAAAGGAGGAAAGCAGTAGGGAAGTTATAGAGAAAAAAAGAACTAAAAGAAAATTATATTGATGAGAGTGGGATTCGAACCCACGCAGATTGCTCTACTAGCACCTGAAGCTAGCGCCTTAGACCGCTCGGCCATCTCACCTGATTTATGCTTCTTTTCCCAATTCTACTGTTCATATCGTCTAGGCGTAATGGGAAAATTGAGGAGAAATGACTCGGATCTTGCTAAAACTGTTCTGCTCAATCTCCAAGCAATTGATCTCGATCATGAGTTTGAAGAAAACTTGGACTGAACTCAGTGCAGAAAGACATACAGATACTATCTCAGAAGAAAACATGCAAGCACCATGTCAATTGCACATACGTAGAGACCGTGCTTGAGAGAACAAAAGCAGAACGCAAGCGCTAAAAAACAAAAACCTCTCCACAAGCCCAAAAGCAATGACCAGAAAATCCAGTCCAATCCAATCCAATCCAAATGTGCTCACACCCATCTTCTCTGTGCTTTTCTCAAGCATATGTGCGTATTCCAGATGCACAGAAATAACGCAAGAAAAGCAACAGCGCAAGAAAAGTCTCCATCCACATGAACAGAAAAAAAAAATCAGAAAAGAAATGTCGACGCCTGCAGGATTTGAACCTGCGCATCCGAAGATAAGAGATATCAGATATTTAACTCGAAGAGAATATTCTAGTCTCTCGCCTTAGACCGCTCGGCCAAAGCGCCTCTGATGATGTTGTTGCACCGGGTGGGTTTATCTGTTCCTGCCTGTTAGCGCTGCCAAGAGTCTTGGGAGTGTTAGGGCTGAATGATGAGGGTCGATGCGCAATTAGGATGAATATGCTCAAGGTTGTGGACTTGTGGACTTGAGATGAGATAAGAGTCAGGTAGTGTGTCCAAGTATACAGTAGCCGGCCGGGGTTTTCTCGAAAGCTCTACTGAAAACGTAGATATGCAGACGGAGAAAGCAGATGAATCGGCAACACCTGGGAGGCATTGACTCGAAAAAAATAAGAACAAGCCAAAATGTCGTGCATTTGCTTCTACCCTGACTGCTGTGGGGAGAAAAAGCAGCACTCAGTGACAAGTTTGTGTATTTGACAAGTCACAGCAGAGTGCGACAGTAAAAGTGTAGTAGCTAGTCATGATAGTCAACGAACGACAAACAAGCAAAAAACTGACCACGCCAGGGGTCGAACCTGGAATCTCTTGATACCGCTCAATCGTGAAGAATAGAATCGTAGTCAAGCGCCTTGCCATTGGGCCACGCGGCCATTGATGAAAAACTGGTTGAGGTTGACGGATTATCAAATTTGAAAAGCGTGGGGCACAAGCCTGCCCGAAAAAGCCGAGCCTCATTGCTACTTGGGCATTTCTAAAATTAAATCCATACTTGAATCCTTGACAACCCAGGAAATAACGAATAATCTTTTGATACAGTGGTCCCTCCAAGCAAGCACTGTCTACTCTATGCGCTTCTTTCCTTCTTCCATGTATCCCAAATTCGAATTGCTGTATCCACGGCTGTGCTTTGGAATAAATGGTCCAATAACAGGATCTCTGCCGACGCGGTCGAGGGCGTCTTGATAACTTTCTATCGCATGAGCTGGTGTGTTCAGTTTTGGCCAATTCACCTATACAGAAAGTCAGTAGTGGACAATATTCGTTGCGTCAAGCGAACTTACGTAAAGTGCTCCATGTAGAAGCATGAATCTTCCAGCCCAAAGAGCAGCAAAGAAACATATCAAGTTGAAGATGCGTAGTGGCCATACTGTTGCATCTGGCATGCGGCGAGTGAAGAGAGATACAATAATGAAAAACAGACAGCCAAACAAGATGTAGGGTACAGCCTGAATAGACACAGGTCTCGTGTCTGCAAATTGGTGGGCACTTCCTAGACCTGACGGATCAGGAGTGTATGCACCCAAGAAGACGTCAAAGGCATCCTGTCGAGGTCCATCAAGAAAGTTATTGCGAACATATCTCGTAATCGAATTGTTCAAATCTTGCAGGGCGCCAGCTCTTGTCCTTTTTCCAGTACGGGTAAAGTCAGTCTTCAAAGCTCCAGTACCAGAGTATGACTTGCTGACAACATCGGCATTATCTGCCCATACGTTGCGGAAAAGATTCTCGAACGATTCATCATCGCGTGCCCTTTGTCCAGGTTGCAAGACGCCAAGATCGACGAGCTGCCGGTCAAGGATGAATCTACCAAGCATGGATTGAACAACATTTGTCCGGTCAAGACAGTCCATGCAGTTTGTTCGTACGACTGCACTCTGCCTTTTCACAACATCAATCCTACCACTAGGTGTAGCGACTCCGTGGAAATACTCTCCTCTCATCAACCCATCCTTGAGTTGATCCAAGAGTAACTCGGCTCGATGCCACTTCAGACCCTTGGTCTCGTTGTGGAAATCAAAATAGACATAATGCAGCTTGTCGAGATGGTGTTTGCGTTGTGCTGGATTGATGACGGTAAACTTCTCACTCGTCCTGCTGTCGATGTCGCCATCTTCGGTAGGGCTGTCGACAAGAATATTGACCATCTTTTCGTAAGCGTCCTTGACTCCCTTTTCTCTACCTTTTTGATTGACAAGATTGACCAGCCAGTTGTCTCCATAAAGACCAATCTGCTCGTCAAAGTGTAGCTTGGCGGCATTCACAGCCGACTCGACACCTCGAATTTGAAGCTTTGGTGTGTATTTGAGAGTGTTGACCTCAGCCCAGTACAATGGCACACTTCCACGTGTCTCGACGTATGCAAGGATTTGCGTCTCACGACCAGGAGCAGGTCTGCTGCTAGAGAAACCACCATCACCAGCAAAAGTAGTCATTCCGCTGGAAGAGTCATCATTCAAAATAGTAATCTGCTCCGTTTCGTTGTAATTGGAGGCATGACCTTGCTCATCCAGACCTCGGGAGAAATATCTTGTGCCTGTCCTGTGTCGAGATCTGCGTGTGATGAGGATGAATGTGAGAGGGGTGCCCTTGACGGATGTGGTGGTGATTCTCAACATGCCAAACATGACGGGAAGAATGAACGGATCTACTCCGAATTGAGGACCTTGAGAAGTTCTGGAATTGCCTTGACCGAGACGGAATTTGATCAGGTCAGATTGAATGAAGCGATTCCAGAAGAAGCGGTCATCTGCTCTCTGCCAAAGAGGACCGGACGGGTCGTTTTGGATCGCCTGCCTTTGGAGAGTGTTTGTAAGATCGAAAGAGTAAGAAAAGTACATGGGACCATTGTGGAGAAGTCCCTTGACCAGAGAAAGATAAGTGTCCTCATCAAGATCGCGGACCTGTCTTTCACGAAGGGGAAGCATTTCAGTGGCCACGACGCGGTAAATCATGTGGCCTTTTATCCTGCCCATAGGCTGAGCTTTGGTGATGACAACAATATACTTGTCTATGAGGGAGATTAGCTTGGTCAATATTGGTCCAAACGAAGACAAATACATACCCAATCGCAAACTGATAATACCCATGATGCCTTGAATACTTGTGACTCTCTGGCCACCCAAAAGCTTGCCATCATTAAGGCGAATATCTCCCGAAGGTCTGTCGATTACAAGTGTAGGGGCAGAAGGGTTCGAAGGGGAAGAGAATGCATAATGAGAAGAAGACGCGTGGACATTGAGGTCTCGAAAGGGGAGAGAGGCCATATTGCGGGCGTTTGTCTAGAGGAATGCAAAGGAAATCACAGAAAGAAAGTGTCTGAGACAGCTCCAACACCAGACTAGACGAGACCAACACGACGTTTCAAGCTGGACAGTTCAAGAAAACAGATGCCTTGAGATAGGATGACGTCGAGCAAGGGACCTTCGTTGGAGACGGAGAGGGAGACGGAGACAACGGAGGCGCATGGACCGTGCTTCGGGTTGCCCTGCATTGCATAGGCCATCGGTCATCGGGTCCATGATGATCTTGGCATCAGGATCCCGCTTCCAACTGCATCCGCTCGGACATGGATGCAAGCAGTTGCGGATTATCCCCAAGTCATCATCGAAAGTGTTGTCAACTCAGTGTGAAGGGGTGATAACAACAACACCCCAGCCTACTGTGACGCTCATACAAGCCAGCGCATACATATTTGGCAATTCTCAACAAGCTTGCAAGGTCCCAACATTAACAGATACAAAACATGGCAGCCCGAATGCAGCAGCCTGGAAGACCTGGCGGTGCAGCCCGCTTTGCTCAGTTTAAGCTGGTATTGCTAGGTAGGTTGATGTGTTGATGTTGATGACGATGCTGGATGTCGCGATACTGACATGATGACAGGTGAATCGGCAGTTGGAAAGGTGAGCGGCGCGACAAGCTGACCTCTCACCGACCTTATCACTAACAATACTCGCAGAGTTCGCTTGTATTGCGATTTGTAAAAGTATGTCATGTTGATGAGAAGCTACTTCGACGACGCTACTGACATCGTTTTCCAGGACCAATTCGATGACTACAGAGAGTCGACTATCGGTGCCGCCTTCCTCACTCAAACAATAGCCCTCGATGATACGACAACCGTCAAGTTTGAGATTTGGGATACCGCAGGACAAGAGAGATACAAGTCGCTGGCTCCAATGTATTACCGTAACGCAAACTGCGCCGTCGTCGTTTATGACATTACTCAATCCGTATGTGGATGCGCTGATGACAACAATGACAACAACAATCAAACTGACATCATCGCGCAGGCATCTCTCGACAAGGCAAAGGCATGGGTCAAGGAACTTCAACGACAAGCAAATGAAAACATCATCATCGCTCTCGCTGGAAACAAACTCGATCTCGTCACTGAACAACCCGATAAGCGCGCCGTTTCTATCGAAGATGCTCAAGCATACGCCAACGAGGCAGGTCTTCTCTTCTTCGAAACCTCGGCAAAGACGGCAGAGAACGTCAAGGAACTCTTCACAGCCATCGCAAAGAAGCTTCCCATCGAACAAGCCAGTCAGAGAGGCATGAGAAGTGGTCCAAGACCAGGTGTCGATCTCAGGCCTGAAGCTTCCGGTACTCAGGGAGGTCAAGGTTGCAACTGCTAGACGGACGAAATACATCATGGTGGGAAGATTGGAATTCACAATACACTGATATCCCCAAATCTTTCTTCTTTCATTGATCATGGAGGCTTCACGAGCAGCGGGATATGACATAACACGCCCTGACTAATACAATACCTTGAGCACGATGATGGAGGGTAGGCGTTTTTGGAGCATTTTTCTGGATTTGTGAGAGCAGGCTTATCATAACCCTTTTTATTGACAGTCCTTGAGAGAAATGAGTGTTTACTGTGTTGTGATGTGCAATGCAAACATGATGTTGGAAGACGAACATGATATTGAAGACAAACATATGGATCCGCCAATCGGAACGATATGTCTTGACCGCCGATCTTGTTTATCAATCATATCTTGACTGACACTGTGACAGTATGATATATCATGTCTCACTGTATCAATTATTGTCTATCGTCTATCTATCAATTCAAAAAATGATCAAGGTATGATTGCAAGGTTGCACACTCTGCATATTTACGCAGGTTGAAGCGGCACATTGCTTCTCCATGTCCATATCGATATTACAGTGTCATTACATGCCTACTCATCTCGCCGAAAAGAGATGGAGCGAGCTGTATGCTCTGCGACATATCATGATTCCTGTATGTTCTTCAAGACTCATCTCAGGCCTCGAATGCAGGGACAGCATGAAAGAGGCGTGGAAAATAT